GACTTTTTGTGTGGTAAAGAATACAAAATTGCTTGACAACCAATACGCGCTCGTTTTGACGCGCTGCTGTGATTTCACGAACTAACACAATCTACTTTGATTGTGTTAGTTCGTGATGTGAGCGACGATATATATCACTGCATTTTACACTCTATTTATTATCAAAATATTAAATATATGGATTTATAGTTACTGTAGTTTTTACCAATGTAAAGAATAGGGAAGAACAAGTTACATTTATATACTGTATTAGCTTAAAATTTTAAAATATGAGACAAGAGTGGGGAAGATACAAAAAACATTGTACTGTACTTAACAACAAAATGTTCTTGAAATCAACTTTGCTGGCCTATCCGAATCAATAGCAACAATTTCAATTACAGACTAGGTCTGGAAGGTTACACACAATTGACTGGTCCAGATATACAAAAGCTCTAGGCCTATGCGGACAAAATTTCCTTTCATGAGTGATGAAATTGTCAAAAAAACAGAGCACAGTTGTCACATGAATTGTCAAGAATGAATCTATTACATAAGATCTGTTGCATTAATGAGGATGGACTTATCATGTATCTTCCATAACAATTTATAAATAATCACTTCCAACACAAAGTTTATTTCATCATCTTCTATAGCATCAAAAAACCCAGGCAGTCTTCACAGCTTCTTTGGAACTTGTCCCTAATCGCCCACACAGTGCAAGATGGGATGACCCTTCTGTCAGATTTCTTTAGCCTGTTAAAATCCTACCACATGAAAGCCATTGATATCCATCATGTCAGCATTTCTTGTAAGAAGAGAAGTACAATAAAAAGTTTGAACAGACTAGTTAAAAAAAATCAGAGTGACTATTCTTACACCATTCAAAAATAATTAGTATTGATATTACAGTACAATATCTTTATAAGGAAGTAATCATTCTGGCACTAATCATCAATAATAATTTTTGTTGAAAATCTATATATTCTAATTAACCATCACTGTGAAAAGCCCATATTCAAATGCATTGCAAGGTGGTGTAACATAGCCGCGACCTAATTATTTTGAATAGAATTTATTACTTCATTAATATAATACTTTTTTGTAATATAAAAATAAAAATTAGTTTAAAAATGAAGACAGTAACAACATATGTACAATAGACTATCTTGATTCTCAACCTTTTCTAATGTACAGTAATAATAATGCCCCTGTATTTTGACCATCAAAATGGCTGGACATTTGACCCTCTACTAGTTTTTGATCCAGCATGGAACCAGCAGGGAAACGCCTAGTGCAGGTGGTTGTATTTCCGAGCAGAATACCGAAAATTAGTCTTTAAACTATACTGTATATAACCATTGCCAATGTATCTCTGCACATTTTTCCAAGCCATTTTCCGCGCAAATTTGAGCTAGTTTTCAAGGTATCATCCACATTCCACGACGAATAAACTGGCATTTTAGTAATGCTGTAATAATAGTAGATCCTAGATAGTTCCATGGATCTAATAATTAACATGTAAATTAATGTACTTTATTTAAAATAGTGTTGTTTGTTTGCCTCTAATGTTTAAAATATTATTATTATTGTTTGTATGCCTAGGCCTAAACTAGGGGGGCCTAGGCCGCACCAGGCAATAGAGTAGTATTCCGTATTCTCTACATACATACAGTACTGCACTAAATGCTAGGCTATGCCTACACAGGTAAGACAAGTTGGTATTAAACAAACCTATTTAACTCCACTATTAAGATCACCACTTCCAAGACTTCCTTATCCAAACCAGCAAACATATCTTTTTGAAAGATTGATTCTTCAAAAATGCCTTCGACTTATTATATTATTGTTATTGAATATTTTCGCCAGTCCTAATTTTTCAATTTTCCGCTTGCGACGACCATTCTCATCAGTTGGCTGTGTCTCGTTACCAGCTCATTACGTTTGAGTGAATCAGCTGACTCCCTGTCTAGTGCAAATCGTTATTTTACACATAATTGAGACATTTTCATAAGTGAAAACCCATATAAATGAAAAGAACGGCCAAATTTACATTGGAATATGTAAAGTTTGACACGATTTTTTATGGGGTTACCGAATGCAGGCCTTTGAAAGTCGGTACATTTTAGGAAATTCCCTATCTTATAACACTAGCTCAAAATCCTGTAGCACCAGTTTTTTTTTGGGACCCAGTTCACGAGCCTCGTTTTACCGTCACCGTCATTCTGGTCGCCCATCTCTCAATTTTAAATTAAAAATCAATCGTTTCACCCGTGCCCCCCCCCCCCCCTTTAAGGATAAAAATATGAAGAGTTTTGAAAGGCCTTCTAGGGGGCCTAGGGCCATCGCTTGCGGGACTTGCACCGTCCAGTGCTGACTAAGGTTATAGTTGTTGATTTAAAGGTACACATTCAGATTAAATACTGTCACCAAGTCATTTTGTTGTAGTTTCTGTATGAAATATTTATACTATTAGACAAACTTACATTGCTGAATTTTAGAATAAGATGTTTCTTTTGATTACAATGACCAATGAGTCGGAAAAATGTTGTGTGTATGAATCTCTAGATAGATAGAATTTTTATTCTGGATACTCAGTCAGTATGATTAATATGCTGTTCTTCCCTGAGGTCCAGAATGATCTTAAACTACATTAAATTACAATACAAAATTAAAAGAAAATGTATATAAATAATTATATAAATAGCATAAATACAAGAAACAGAAAAGAAAAACAAGAGTGTAAATTAAAATGAGATTTGTAAAGGATTATAAAGAAAGCTTAGGCCCAGGCTCATGTTGACACGATGGGGCTATGCTCACTGTGTACAAAAATGTTCAAGCTTTGGAGAATGTATTATAGGAACATTTACCAAGGCTTTTCAGTAACTTAATTTACGTTAAAATGTACAAATAAACAAGTTTGAGGAGACATTTATTCGAGCGGAGGCTTAATATTGTGTAAACAAATCTGCCACCTAACGGTATGTTTTGATGCTATACCCACTATACAATACTAGCTTTGGTGACTAATTCGGTCTATTAAATCTTGAATCTTCCTTCATATGTATATCATGAAATAGTTATTGGAACATGTTTTAATTAAGCTTTTAGAACTTGGTGCCAATCTTGAGTGGCTGACTGTCCATTCTCAAGCTGTGTTAACTTTAATTTAGTTTTTTTTTTGTAACTTTACAATTGAATCATGATTCATTATTCATAGGCATATCATGAAATAATTATTGGAACATGTTGTAATTAGATTTCAGAACTTGGTGCCAATCGTGAATGAGGAGGAGGGTCATGTGATTCTAATGTGTGTTGAACCTCAAAAGGATGGTTGTAAGCTTTATCAAATGAAGATTTCTGATAATGGAAAAACTTGGAGTGACCGAACCAGGGTCAATTTGAAATGGCCTAAATATATGGGAAGTGCCCAACTCCATTGTATTGGTGCGTAGAGTAATAATGTTTCATTTCCCTAGAAAAAAAAATGAAGTAATCTATTATATTTTATAGTTTTGTGTTCATTTACTCATCCATTATTTACATGTTAATTCTGTTTAGGTCCAGGGCATGGTTTGTGCTTGCAGTCTGGAAAATTGGTTATTGCAGGTGTTGTCAAGTTTACAAAGCGTAGGATCTTATAATTTCCTTTAATTTCTATTGTTTTTCATAACATAACATAAATAACTTAAATTTATAAATTGACTTGAGCTGTTGACTTACCTTTACAAGTTTTAGCTCTCACAGTAATTGATTAATTTTGATTTTATGTGTACATACATGTCTGAGCTGCAGGGTAAATTAAACCTTTGCTTAACCTGATTTTTCAGAAATTTTTCATTTTAAGTTATGATAAAAATTCATTGGTTTTTGTTTTTTAATCTCTTAAGCTGTGCTTTTATAATCTATACAGAACTTCAACTTTGTGTGATAACAAATAACAGTAGAGGTGACACCTGGGAAGTAGTTCCTATACCATCTAACTTCAGACCTGATAATGCTTCCTTTGGAAGTCATGCACAGGTGAAAGTTACTTTTTGGTTTTTTTTGCTTCAGTATTACTATTGATGGAGCTTAATTTAATAGTAAATTATTATGAATGGCTGAAGATTGTATTGTCCATATTAAATTCTGATATAAGGCCACCTGCCTTGAACACAAAATTGGGCCAGTTTTTTGGGGGTGGGCTTATACCCGGGCTATTCCCTTTTTAATTAAATGGCATTGTACCTAATTCAAAGCCAATATATGATGGGGCTTTTGTTTTTTTCATATCCTGGGCTTTTGCTCGAGGAAAGGCTGGTACTTAAAATTGGGCATAAAGTAGGTGGTGGGCTTACCAATTAACTACAGTATTAATATTTTAAACTTAAATTGTCATTCATTGAGTTTGCCTCAATTATAAGCAAGCTCCATTTAGCATCACTGTTGGTGCAAAGAATTTTAATACTATAAAAGTACTGACAACTGAAATAAATTTTATTAATTGAACACGTTTTAAAGATTTGGTCGGTTGGCTATTGTTAAACATAACAGAAAATGTTTAATGTTGTTGGTTGAGCATCTTTTTAAAATCTTATGTAATTTTACTTCTGTTTCATAACCCTAAATAGATTGTTGAATATGCAGAAGACCAAGTTTGCATCACCTGTTCATTGAAAAACTGCCAGCAACGCTTTAATGTGTTCAGCAGTGATGGATGCAGAACCTTCCACAAGGCCAAGATGGAACCTACATTGATAGAGGCTAACCCGGGATGCCAGGTATGTTGTCATTACAATTGTTGTTATATTAGTAGACTACAGTATGTGATTCAACAACAAAATAGGGGAAGGGTGAATGACGATGACAGTAATGTTAATAATAATTTTTTTATTGATTTATTTCTTAGGCTGGTATAATTAGTATCCCAGTAAAGAAAAGAATGACAAGTTTCAATTTAACTGCTTTCACAAACCCAGCAAAAGAATCCGAGTTTGAAAATTTGTCTGTTCGATTTAGCAAAGATGGCTGTGAAACATGGACGCCTCCGTTACTGGACTTAGCAAGACGATTTGCTGAATCCAGTGATCTTGCTTACTATGAAGAGAAAGGCCAAAAATTGGCATGTGTGTATGAGAATGTGACTACTGTTGGGAATAACAGTAAATATTATTCCATTTTAATGCAGTTAATTTCTCTTGATGACATTATTACAAAAATGTTCTAAAGGAAACATAATAATTCTTTAAATTTAGATGAAAATGACGATGAATATTTTGAATTAATTTAAGGGTTTGATGTTTGTTTGGTATTGAATAATGTCAGAAACGTATTTAACTGCTTCTAATTTTCTTTTACTTTTTACCTTTATGAATGTTTCCCAGAGGGTTAAATTCCAAATGGGGTGACTTGCCTTCAAAGCAATCATTCAATCAAATTAATTTATTTATCATCAAACCTGAATGATAATCATATATCAAATCACTAATAATAGAAAAAAAGGATGTGTAAAAGGATGCCAAATAAAATTTGCCCTATCTCTTTAAAACCAAGCTGAGATGCTATCTGCTGCATTACTTTTACTGATGTTGAGATTGAGAAGCTCGGGTTTTAACAGATTCTTCATCTACAGGCTTGAGTTTTAGTTTAGGAATGAATTTATTTTTACAGAGAAGAAAAATTTCTTGGAAAAATCAGACGTGACCGATGTGAAAAACTTCATTGTTAACATTTTTCAAAACAATGCAACTATCAATTTTGATATTATTGTATCCTAATTTGCTATGATTTTCCACAGCTTCTTAGGATTGTTTGTAATTTTCTTCAATTAGGTTTAAGGAATATTCCGATTTTGCTTTCTTCATAGCTTTACATACTTTTTTATGCAGTACAATCAATTTATCATAGGGCAATTCCATAACTTCGGACGTACATTTCAGACACTTTGTGAATCTATATTTTCATAATGAAGCTTTCAATTTATTTTTTTTAAAGTTTGCATTACATCTACTGGTTAGTACTATCAAGCCTACAATTTTTATTTTTTAACTCGTATGCGTTACGGAGATACGGGTCAAAATGACACCGTGACGGACGTAATCAGAGAAAGTGACTTTTCCTACGTCACTGTACTTTTTTTAAAAACTCTGTGATGTGTGGGACATTTAAAAAAAAATATTTCCCTGTTGTTTTCCACTAATGTGTGGGCTTTCTAGCAGAATAAAATTTTAATTAAATTTTTTTCATTTTCTCTATGAAAACACCATAAAATTACTGTGACGGACGTACAATTTTATCGTGACGGACGTACTTGTCTGAATTGTGATGGACGTACACATCTAAAAATACAAAAAAATCTACAATCTAAATTATTTTATTTATTAATTAATATACTGGTATGCTTATATGATATAAAAGTACCAAAATATACTGGATTTTAAACTTTTTTTTTTAATAATGAATGTAAAATACAATTAATTAAATAATTTAGGTAATTTTGTGTCAAATAATCCTCAGTTGACCTCAATACCCTAGTAGTCAAACCATGTTTTGTATGCATTTGAGGTAAAGAGAATATTGACTTCATAAATTGGTTCAGGGTGGCCCTAGAATCATTTTGGCATGGTAACACATTTTATTTAATGTGGCAAAATGTCAAAGGTCAGGGTCAAAAGTCATAGTAATAGGGCCCTTATATCTTCGCAACCACATGTGGTAGAGAGTTAAGTTTGATGTCAAGTTGTTCAAAACATTTATATTTCTATTTACCATAATAGAATATTTTGTTAAAAAATGACCAGACATGCCATTTCTGACCTTTGACTCATCTCCGGGTCATATTCACAGGTTCTCATATTTCCGTAACCACTGGTGGTAGGGAGTTAATTGTGGTGTCAATTTGTTCAGAACATTCATGTAAATAGATTGTAAAGGAGTTGGATCTTAATTTGTAACCTGTTATTATTAATTAATGCAGACAGTTAAACTAGTGAAAGAATATGTGCATACTGTACTGTACTAGATCTATAAGCCAAGTCCTAGCTTTTAGCGTTAACTTCTTCATTGTATATAAAGAATCCTGCAATGGGTAAGTTCAGATTTTAAAGGTTCTGAAATTAGAGATTATTATAAACACCTGTAACATTTTTGCAATACAAGAAAAATCATAGTAATTGTAGTTAATCAAGATGACTGTATGGTTACTCATGCTAAATAAGGTGTCTTATCTTACATTATAATAATATCCTGTAATTTGAATATAAAAAAATAATATAATCATATGTTAGCTGTAATTGTAATTACAGAACATTGTTATGATGAAGTAGATAGAGTAGCCGTGTTAGTCAAGATGATAACATTATTATGTAATTTGTGTATTGCCTGCCTGGTTTATTTTTATTAGATATTTGCTTAAAATTTTAGTTTAAAATTGTTTTTTGTTTGTAATGTAAGCCCATGGTACTGAAAATATGTTCATATTGCACACTGTTTGATAACAATAAGACAAAATATGCTTCAGGGAGGAAAATTATGTAAGCCTAAATTGATCTCGACCAGAAACTCAAGTATGGGGCTCATACCCAGAATTGTCCATGTTGTATTATGTTTTGTGCACAACATGTAGCCTACTGTAACTACAGACATATGACACATTGACAGTTTTCAAATTTTCACCATATTTCATAGGTTATAACACATTTTACACAGTGTGACGGACGTACAGTAAAACTGTACGTCTGTCACGTGGTTTTGCTAATTAGTGTAATTAATGGTAGGCTTCCAATTTGCTGTATACACTTGGTATACCTAGTATGCTTTATAACAGAGTTTTGGTAATTTCTTTGTACCTGGTTAGAAAAGGAAATAAACAAATGTCATTTTCTTGTGACGGACGTACATCCATATTTTCATTATTTTTAAATATTTAATTAAAAATATGGCGTTAATTACAAAAAGTCAAAAAATTTCACCAAATCACACAATACATACTAATTCATTATTTTAATGAAAAGTGAATCAGATTCTGATATTTTGCAAGGGAAAAAATTGGAAATTGAAATTATAACTACATTTTCTTTAGTATTTTAAAATATTAATTAATTGTATTGAATTCCAATTATTTTCCAAGTGAATTCTTAATTTTTTTTTTATTTCACAAAAATATAACTCATTAGCTTCATAATGATGTATCACAGATACACATTTGATGTATTTGAATTTTTTACCATTTGGTTTACTAATTTACGGAATTGCCCCATAGATGTTTGTTTTGTTCCTACCTATCCTTATTAAAAAGTTTTAGCAAACTACGGAGTTCATGAATTATGTGTTTGATTTCACCATTTATCCAATATTTTGTGTTGCGTTTTATTCCATAGAATTAAAATAAATTTTTCTTAACAAACAAGGCCCGAAAGCCACTATTATCCAGCAATTCGTTGTTATTTCTATTGTATAGTTTATGTATGTTCCCTGTATTGCATTTATTAACCAAAGAATAAACATCTGAATTCATACGGAAAATGTTTCTACCATTTCACAATAAGCCTACACTGTATTCACACAAAGTTTCCATTTGAAGTATAATTATTACTTCTGCAATCAATTGTCAGATTGTCAGCATTGTCAAACCTGGGTGCTTGTCTGGACCCACTCTATGACAATTTTTCGCAAAATGCGCACAAATGTCTTCTTCACTCAACCCGGTAAGAATTAAATTGAATTGAATGTTTTCTCATGTTGCCAACTCTGTTCTGCTTCTTCCTTTTTATAAAAGTGAATTTTTTAATGATGAATTACAATTTGCCAAAAGTCTATTCTTTTAAATGAATTTCTAATCAGTCAAATTTGTCTAAATTTTTCTCAAATTATTGATATTTTAATATTGTCATTTAAAATTTTTAATCTCTTTTAAATTTAAGCAAATTTTCTTCTTTTTACTTGTATATACTATAACCTTTTTACAGTTATTCAATTAGGCAATTGAATGTTTCGTTTGCAGGATCCCAATGGAAATATGTTTCTTTGCAACCTTTTTGTAATCTTTGCTTTCAAAGCATTGAAAATCATTTTTTTTCTTTACCTGCAGTATGATAATTTTACTTTTAATATGTGCACTCGGTTTCTATTTCTCTATCATTGTCAATTTACAAAATATATTTCAAACTTCTTTTCATTCAAAATGGAATAGTTTAGCTATAATACTGTAATTTTACATTACAGTAACCATAATTGATGTTACCATTTTTAGTATTGCCATTGTTATAATAATTATTACTTTTATAGTTCTGATGCCTTTGATGTATTAATGAAGTAATTTTGAACCATATAGCATTCTTTTGAGTAATTACATTAAAAATAGATAATGGTACAATATAAAAATTTGAAGCACATTTAAATCTTATCATTTAACAAATTGATGAAAAATCTTATTCACCCAGTTTAAACTGTGTAGATTTTAATTGACACAGGACCATAAACAATATATTTGATTGAGTAAAACAGTATTTGTTCATATTAATAAAAATAATTATAATAATAAAACTTACAAAGTGCACTATTCAACTGCAGTAGTACTCAAGCACTATATACAATATCTGTGCTATTTATATTTTAAACAATTATTTATTTCTATATTTTTAAGCATGATAATTCCATCTTTGAACAACAGTATTGATATATTCTTAGGTATTTCATTTAACAATTTCATATTTGTATTTGTCAGAATGTTTTTAGTTTTCATATAACACATTTAATTATTATTTTAACAATTTGAGTTTTGTCTATTCTTACTGATAGAAAGTTATTGTACCATTCACATAATATTTTAGCAAAAGCATGCCAGTGTAATAATCAGTTTATATAAAGTAGTGCATTGATAATAGGATTCTGATGAATATACCCCACTGAGGTCCTCTGTCAGTATCTGTTTAGATTCAGAATAGGAATAGGAATTGATAATAGTCGTTTTCTCTTTTCAAATGAAAGTTTTAATGTTCTTTATAAGAACCAGTGTTTGTTTTATCTGCATGTTAATTGTCTCAGACTTTTAGGGTTATACTTGTAGTGTTACATGAAATATTAGCTAATAGTTTTTGAAATATTAAATACTCTTAATATGTAGGCCTAAACTTATATAATAAGTTTATTAGTTTATGTATTGTTAGGATACATTATGACAACTAATTTGCATTAAGGTATAAACTTTAAATTGCGGTGAAATAAAATGAGCACATACATAAAGTGGGCACATGCATACAAGTATGCTTAAATTATAAATTTATTATGATTTATTTGATTTTGGAAAGAGCTTATATAATAATCAGTTTATAAAGTAGTATATTAAATATAAAAACAATAATACATTTTCTCTTTTGAAGCAAAATTAATGATCCAAGTGTAGGGTCTTTCTAAGAATCAATATTTTTGTTTTATCTGCATGTTAGTTGTAGGGTTATATCTGTAGTGTAAGTGAGTACCTGGTTGAAATATACCATAATATAATAGGTAATATAGGTTAAAAGGCGTGGAAAGGTACTAGCCACACAATGCCGAGGCTAGAACATAGGGCTCCTAACAGCTCATTCTCCTATGTTCATTATGGGACTACCTTTACCTATACCTTTTATGTAGTGTTACAAGAAATATTAGGATATAGCCTTTTTGATAATTAATAATTAGTTTCTAGGTCTAAGAATTGTTAGAATAACATTATGGCAACCGATTTGCATTTAGCTAAAACTTTTTAACTTGCGGTGACGTAATGTAAGTCGTGCAAGTATGGTAATTATTTGGTTCAATTATACATGCAAGCTTTCTAGGCATAAATATTGTTAGGATACATTATGGCAACCGATTTGCATTTAGCTATAACTTTTATCTTGCGGTGACGTAATTATAAGTCGTGCAAGTATGGTAATTATTTGGTTCAACTATACATGCAAGCTTTCTAGGTCTAAGAATTGTTAGAATAACATTATGGCAACTGATTTGCATTTAGCTAAAAACTTTTTAACTAGCGGTGACGTAATGTAAGTCGTGGAGGTATGGTAATTATTTGGTTCAACTATACATGCAGCTTTCTAGGCCTAAATATTGTTAGAATAACATTATGACAACCGATTTGCATTTAGCTAAAACTTTTATCTTGCGATGACGTAATGTAAGTCGTGCAAGTATGGTAATTATTTGGTTCAATTATACATGCAAGTTTGTAGATCTAAAAATTGTTAGGATACATTATGACAACCGATTTGCATTTAGCTAAAACTTTTTAACCTGCGGTGATGTAATATTTCATGGAAGTACAGTATGCTAATTATTTGGTTCAATTATACATGCAAATTTATTATAATGCATTTGATGTGGAGTGGGGATGGTGGTGATGATGATGGTCATAAAACATCATAATTTATTTCAGCTTAGTTTTTATTCTTGAATTTATATGTTTTCGCATGCAGTATCTATTTCCCAACTATAATCCAAAACCGTGTTAATGAATGTTTCGACTACCAATGAATCGATGAGTTGGTATGGTTTTTTAACAATTTCAATTATTTCACATGATAGAGTGGACGGTGCTAAAACTGGACTACTATATATGTTTGAAAGCTGAAATATATCGGTATGTTGTTTGCATTTTTTATTGTTTTTGCTCTAAAGTAGGCCTACATTAAAATGGCAGTAGAGAAAATTGTGTTTGTCCTTTTTTGTGTCTATTACATTCTGTTTAACAGTAAAAGTGTGTAGTGGGTGGATTGAAGTATTTACTTTCAATCCCTCTGTCATTTTTCTCTTAGGCCGTATACATTGTTTGTTTATTTATACTACCGTGCTTGTGAGAAAGCGCCCGGGCGCTTAAAATATTTTTTTGCACTTTCTGAGGGACTCTTATTCAAACGGGGCGCTTATGAAATAAATGAAAATCGAGGGCTTCTTGTGGGAACACCACCATTCGTTTCATAAAAGATAATCGTCCAGAGAACATGGCTCATGACAAGAATGCTGTGAATATTTACATAACACCAGAATAACAGATGCGATTAGCGGTGGTGGGTGGTGGTTATCTTGTTGGCCATTGGCGGATTAGCAGGATGTCAGGATCATTGCAGGTTTTCTTGAAAACTCAGATGAGAATGTGCTGAAGGTGCAAATTGTCAGAAAAAGAAAAAGAGGAGTAGGACTATACAAATATATAAGAATAGGAAAGTTGGAAATATATTGTTTGTACAGGGATCATAGTTCTCATCTGTCCAAGAGAAATATCCTCAATGTGATATTGACCTAAGAAAAATGTGATTCCACTGCACTCTGCAGCTCCAATCATGCCAACAATCACAGTCTCAGGATTGATTGGATTATTGACTTTTGCTAAAAAGAAAGGGAGCGCTTATTCAAATTAGAAGGGGGCGCTTGTTCAAACAAATTGTTCAAGCAAATTTTTACGTTTATTCGAGAGGGGCGCTTATTCAAACGGGGCGCTTATTCGCGTGAGTACGGTATTCATACACATTGAAGTATTCGATGGCATTTAAAAACCAAACAAACTGCAAATGAAATGAGTAAAAATTTATATTATCAACATTTGATTTTCAGAGATATACTCAAGTTGATTCATTTTGATGCCTCATCACTGAATATTGAAATGAGGGATGAGTCTCATACCCATATCAAGTTATGACGTATTGAACAACTGGTTTTTTTTTTTTTTTTTTTTTTTTAGGAAAAAGAAGTACAGTACTCAAAATGTGAATGATGAATTAACATAGCAAGGGGTTGGAGGGGGAGGGAGTGCATGAGAGCAAAATGGGCTCGCTCAAAATCATCCGGAAATGTGAAGCCCCTGAGAAATGATATTTTCGGTGTTTCAAATGCTTATTTAATCGATGGAGTGCAACAAAGTGGATCATAAATTGACTCAGGAGAAAAATGTTGGGATTTGCTTGGCAGGGCTTCTATTCCATTTCCGCTCCCCTCTAGTATTTTATTGCTGCGAAGCAGCCAATTCAAATTCTCGACAGCAATTTGACCTCTGAAAGGTCATTGTTTGTCAAAAAAAACAAGAGCCTAAGACGACTGAAAAGCGGAGTTTCCTTCTTTCGTTCTGCCGGGTAAAATCAATTACTTTAGGCGAAGTTTGTAGACTAACCAACACGTACCAACGTCCGCATGTCGCGCTAGCCTTATCCTACTCTAGGCCTAGACTAGCTAGGATGGTATAGGCTTAGCCTTGAAGGGACGAAGGTCCCAATGACAAACAACGTCGCTCCTTGATAGCTAACATTGTCTATTTAACATCACAATAATTCATTATTAGACCTAAAGTTGTTTTTTGAATTGTACTCCACAAATCTCAGCCGATACGTCGCACAACTCGAGTAAGGCCCTATAAAAAATATTATTAGTTTATCACCCTATCTGGGCAGGAAAAGTGATGAGGGAGGGAGGCTTTTTTTATTTTTTTTTATTTTGCTATAGCCAAATATAACCCTTGGTTTGTTTGCTGGTGCATTGATCTTCAAAGTAAAACAAGATTTAGATAATGCAAACAATATCTACTAACTATTTAATAAAATAAATGAAAAAAATAAAGAAATAAAATTTAAAAATAAATTAAAAATTTTTTTTTTTTCAAAATTATATATTTTTTTTCTTGTACCATAGAAGGCATGCGCGCGAGGGTGATAAACTTATAATTTTTTTTTATTGGGCCTAACGTCTCGTATCTATTGTCGTGACGTCATGGCTCGCTGGCTCACACTTGCGATGTCTCCCACTTTGGCAACAATCTTTGGCAGTCAACTCGCCCCTAGAAAACCCGCCCTTGGAAACTTGCCCCATAAAAAAAATGTACACTTCCTAGACCATGCAGTTTTCAAAATAAAAATTGTAACCTTTGGTAATCAACTACTTTTTCCACATACGTAGAAACTTTATTTTAAAAAACCTAAACCATAATTCACCACTATAGACACTTTTTGACAAAAATGAAAAATTACGACTTTGTTACCCAATGAGAAGTTTTCTAATATAGACAATGGGTCGTGTCTCATATTATTTGTTATATTTTTATTATTCATTATTTTCACTTGATTCGCATAAATAATTTTGTTTGAAGAACATTTATATATGCAGTTATACTTTGCAGCATTCTCTTGCAATTTCTAGTTAATTATTGTAATTAATAATGTAGGCTTATTGGATGTAATGTTCAAAATACTTCATGCTATAACAAGGGTATTCCATTCTTGCAGTACACCCAATTCAAATGTACAGTATATTAAGTAATTTAGTACTGTATACTGTATTATAGGAATCGTTGTTTGTGTTAAAGCGAAAATATAATTGACCTGAGCTTAGCAGCGAAGTAAGCCAGGCTAGATAAATTGGAAATGTACCCTATAGTATTTATAAAGGACAGCAATTTACAATTCTGCATCACAAGACCAAATTAATGCAGACATTACTAATATAATGCTCACCTTAATGTTTTTAATGTTTTGAGAAGGATGGAGATAAAAATGACATTTATGCGAGAAAATGGTTGTCTCAAATAAAACTCCACTATGGTGCACTCCTTGCAGTGCAATGCAACGGATAAAACTATATACAGTACTGTAAATCAGTGCAGTACTCTATTTGTGGAATACACAGTACACTATTCAAATATTGTCGGGTCATGTGCGCCTTGTCGCGTTCCGTTGCAATCTTCATAGAATCAAGTCGGTCGACAGCAGTCTGACATACAGTATTAATGTTTTTCAAAGTAAGTATGGTCTGTGTCAATTTATTGACACAGAAAATACAGACAATTTGATTTGATCATTTGAGAATTTCATGGTTTTTACAAGATTTTTTCACAGTATAAGTATAAAACACGCATTCCATTATTCTCCGCAAAGATTTACATTTGAGAAAGTCTCACCAGAATTTGCATATTATTGTTTACAATTGGTATAATTTCGTTGTTATGATTATTTCAAAAGTTGTGATTTCCGTACCATTTCCGTACCATTCTGGACCGTGCAAAGGTGACGAAAAAATAAACAGAAGGAAAAGCGCAAGATACAGTATATACCATTGCTGATATTCTATTTAATTACAGTAGAAATCCTACTTTGGGTCAACTCTGTATGAGCTGATGGTTGATTAGATTTACATTTCTGTTGAGGCTAAAAATATGAAGAGTTTTGAAAGGCCTTCTAAGGTGCCTAGGGCCATCGCTCGCGGGACTTGCACCATCCAACACTGACTAAGGTGATAGTTGTTGATTTAGATGTACACATTCAGATTAAATACTGTCACCAAGTCATTTTGTTGCAGTTTCTGTATGAAATATTTATACTATTAGACAAACTTACATTGCTGATTTGTAGAATAAGATGTTTCTTTTGACTACAATGACCAATGAGTCGGGAAAAATGTTGTCTGTATGAATCTCTAGATAGATAGATTCTGGATCTCAGTCAGTATTACTTATGCTGTTCTTCCCTGAGGTCAAGGGAATGATCTTAAACTACATTAAACTACAAAACAAAATTAAAAGAAAATGTATATAAATAATTATATAAATAGCATAAATACAAGAAACAGAAAAGAAAAACAAGAGGGTAAATTAAAATGAGATTTGTAAAGGATTGTAAAGAAAGCTTAGGCCCAGGCTCATGTTGACACAATGGGGCTATGCTCACTGTGTACAAAAATGTTCAAGCTTTGGAGAATGTATTTTAGGAACATTTATCAAGGCTTTTCAGTAACTTAATTTACGTTAAAATGTACAAATAAACAAGTTTGAGGAGACATTTATTCGAGCGGAGGCTTAATATTGTGTAAAAAAATCTGCCACCTAGCAGTATGTTTTGATGCTATACCCACTATACCATACTAGCTTTGGTGACTAATTCGGTCTATTGAATCTTCCTTCATATGTATATCATGATCTAGCTTACTATGAAGAAAAATGCTTAGATACTGATGACCAAAAATCTTGTATGTGTGTATGAAAATGTCGCTACTGGTGGTAAAAACAATAAATATTATTCCATTTTAATGCAGATGATTTCTCTTGATGACATTGTGGATAAAATGTTCTAAAGGAAACAAAATGATTTTTGAAATTTAAATGAAACTAATCACATGGCGAATGACAAGTTAAATTATTTTAATGAATATTTTAATTATTTTAAAGGTTTGATGTTTGTCTGGTGTTATAAGACTGATAGAAACTTTTTAACTTCTAAGTTCTGCTTTTCAACTTATGAATGTTTCCCAAAGGTATAAATTCCAAATGGGCTTTCTTGTCTTCAAAGAATAAAATTCAAATTTATTTATTCATCATCAAAACTAATAAATACAAAAATACTGTAATAGCAAAGCATATAAAGGACTCCAGGCTATCTGTCAGGTAGGCCTAACATCATCCAGCAGTGTACTACACCTACATATATGCAATAACACAAGGTCTCTTGCAAATTACCAAACCTGAAATTAGAATACAGGTCTCCTTCCAATTTTGGGACTGGGGGTTTTCATGATCTTTAGCAGTTTTGATCTCTAATTAGAATAATAAAAATAAAAGACATTTGTTAATATGGGAAAACAGAAAAGTGGTCATTAATTGGTGGGTCTTTCATTAGAGGGAGGCCTGTATTTTAAAAGTAGTTTTAGTTATCTTGCACCTACAATTTTATATGC